TAGCGTAGATGAATAACAAATTTTAAGTCAATTCAACCATTAATTTTTTTACCATAGGGTAAAGTACGATGAGATACACCGCCCAGATCGATCACTTCAGTTTTAAAAAAGTAAGTTTTTGGAATTAGTTTAAGCTTTTCAGGTATTTTTATTACAGGTACGTCACTTTTTAATGAATATCTAAAAACTTTATATAGAAGTAAATAAATAGAAAATACGATACAGCCCTGCCAACTATTTACGTGTGCTTTTCTTAGTCGCTCTGTACTTTTTCTGTTTTTATATTGATTTATTGAATTGTTTTTTACTAGAGTGATATTGTTGGTTGCAAAGAAGTTTACTTCTTAAATTTTAAAATAAATATAGTGATAATTTGTCGATTAAAACTTAAAAACTGCGTGTAAACTCCAATTCATTGTGCAACATGGTCGTGTGTTCTGAGTGCAATCAAGTGGTGGCCCGTAGCTCTGCAGAGTATTTGAACTGTGCTAAGTGCAAGTCATTTTCGCATCGGAAGTGCTTAAATTTGTCAAAAGTTGATATTGACAAACTTAAAAATGTTAAAAATCCATGGTTTTGTATATCTTGTGCTGGATTGACCGGTGCTGACACCTCTCGTCCTGGAACATCAGTAACTAGCAATCCTGATGATAAAGAAGATATTTCAACGGCGAATTTGACTCCATTGGCCCCTGCTATTGAGACTCTTATTCAAAAAACCGTTGATGCTGATTATATCGTTTGCGTATGGTTTCTGATAACGATAGGTCACCCGTAATAGATGTGAGGTTTGCTAGTCAACTAGTTAAAGACAAGTTTATTGACCAGCGGAAAAAATGTCGCAGTTTTTCGACGTCTGACCTTGGCTAGTCTGTAGACAAACAGTCTGCGATTTATCTTAAGGAGTCCCTTACCCCTCTCAATAAGCAGATTCATAGTGCTGCTCTCAACTTACGAAGAAACAAAATTAAATACCTCTGGATTTCCAAGGGTAAAATTTTTTATAGAAAGGATGATGGTACTCCACGTATCTTACTTACATCGCTCAATGATTTAGACAATTTGTCTTAGCAATCAATGTTTTGGATCCTAACTTCTTCAGTTACAACATGGATAATGCTTCAGGAGATTGTTATTATTAGTATTAAAAGAGTTTATTATAGTGTATCGCAATGTTTTTATTCTTTATTACAAATTTCTATATTGATCAGGGTAATTTATTTTGGTTTCAAAATTCCATTATTTGTAAACACAACTTATATACTGGCATATTTCTTTGTCTGATTATCTACTGTAAGTACATTTAATTTTTTCTTTCATACATAGAATTTATATTTTAAAGCTTAAAAGAGATTATTAATATTTGTCATATCAATGCGCTGTCTTTGCGTGCTCTTTTCATAGAATTCAAAGAGTTTTTAAGGATTCGTGGCCAAGGGCCAAATCCCTTATAGCGAGTATTAAGTCTTATGTCTAAAGTCTTAAGTCTTATGTATTAAGTCTTATGTATTAAGTCTTATGTCTTAAGTCTTATGTATTAAGTCTTATGTCTTAAGTCTTATGTATCAAGTCTTATGTCTTAAGTTTTAAGTCTTATGTATTAAATCTCATGTTTTAAGTCTTAACCCTTTGAGTCATACATTTTTCATTTCACTGAAATCTATTGAAACTGGTTACTCGGGGGTTTTTGGGGTCGCTGAATACGAATCTGGCATCAGATTTTCAAAATTCAAAATGGCGGATCCAATATGGCGGACGCGAAAATAAAAAATGAACAGAATTTGCTTGGAACTCGTTACTCAGCGGTTTTTGGGGTCGCTGAATACAAATCTGGCATCAGATTTTCAAAATTCAAAATGTCGGATCCAATATGGCGGACGCGAAAATAAAAAATGAACAGAATTTGCTTGGAACTCGTTACTCGGGGGTTTTTGGGGTCGCTGAATACGAATCTGGCATCAGATTTTCAAAATTCAAAATGGCGGATCCAATATGGCGGAAAAACAAACAAATGACAAACGACAGACTTACACGAACGATTCTCTCCACAGGTAAGTACCGACTTTAATCAAACAAATGACAATCGACACAATTAACACAAACGATTTACTCCACAGGTGAGTATCGGCTACAATCGGACAAATCACAATCAACAGACTTACACGAACGATTATCTCCACAGGTAAGTACCGACTTCAAACAAACAAATGACAAACGACAGACTTACACGAACGATTCTCTCCACAGGTAAGTACCGACTTTAATCAAACAAATGACAATCGACACAATTAACACAAACGATTTACTCCACAGGTGAGTATCGGCTACAATCGGACAAATCACAATCAACAGACTTACACGAACGATTATCTCCACAGGTAAGTACCGACTTCAAACAAACAAATGACAAACGACAGACTAACACGAACGATTCCCTCCAAAGGTAAGTATCAACTTCATTCAAACAAACGACATTCGAGAAACTATTACTAACGATTCTCTTAACAGGTTAATATAGCTTTTACGTTGAAAGAAGGTATTTTGTTGAGTAGAAGCAGTATTATTGTTTGTGTTTTTTTACATCACATCCTGCATTAAGTTTGACATTTTCAGTTACTCATCGGTTAGCAATTCTTTACTAATATCTACAGTTTGTTCAATCGGATTGTCAAAAATGGTACATTATATTCAGTATCAAAAAATAATTTCTTTTTTTTTATAGACAGAAATACTATAAAGAGGATTTTACGTTAAACGAGTTACCTGACTGTGGATTGTCAGGATTCATTCACTTTTGATTTTACTCTTTAATTTTATCCGAACGTTTTAAATCTTCTAAGTTTATTAATAAATTTATTAATACTCATGCCAGATTCGTATTCAGCGACCCCAAAAACCCCCCAAAAAAACGAGTTCTAAGCAAATTCTGTTCATTTTTTATTTCCGCGTCCGCCATATCGGATCCGCCATTTTCAATTTTGAAACTCTGATGCCAGATTCGTATTCAGCGACCCCAAAAACCCCTGAGTAACCAGTTTCAAGCAAATTCAGTTTATTTTTAATTTTCGCGTCCGCCATATTGGATCCGCCATTTTGAATTTTGAAAATCTGATGCCAGATTCGTATTCAGCGACCCCAAAAACCCCTGAGTAACCAGTTCCAAGCAAATTAGTTTATTTTTAATTTTCGCGTCCGCCATATTGGATCCGCCATTTTGAATTTTAAAAATCTGATGCCAGATTCGTATTCAGAGACCCCAAAAACTGCTGAGTAACCAGTTTCAAGCAAATTCAGTTCATTTTTAATTTTCGCGTCCGCCATATTGGATCCGCTATTTTGAATTTTAAAAATCTGATGCTAGATTCGTATTCAGCGACACCAAAAACCCCCGAGTAACGAGTTTTATGAAAATAGTATTGAAATTTCATCTGAAATACTTTTATTTCATAAAATATTACATAAAATTGTTATTTATTATTAAAAATTATAAAAAAAAATTTTAAAAAGTAATTGTAAATATAGTTTAGGATCTAATTTGTAAAGAAAAAAAATTATCATCTCAAAAATTAGTAAGGATAAGTAGAAAATGAATTTTTTCTGAAAAAGAAGCATTATTTTTTGTTATTTATTTGTTTATAATATTTTTATTATTAACAAATTGTGAATCAACAGTTTTCTTAAACTTGTTTAGGTATGAGGAACATGCCCGGAAAAAAACCCTAAATTTATTAATAAATATGCCATAGAAATACTGAAAACTGAGAAGGAAAAGGTGGGTCGCTGAGCGAACCACTGTGACGCAAAGGGTTAAGACAACAAAACAACTGTTAATGGTTGCCATAACAACCGTTGTCATGTCAACCGTTGCTTTGTTAATGGTTGACATAACAACTGTTTCTATGGTAATAAAATAAATTTTTAATCTTAAGTACAAAAGAAATTTCTAAATAAATTTTTTTTTGTCATTTTAGGGCACGAAACCCTATGATGTTGGCGCACTGCGCCTGCTTCTCTGACTGATTTTTTAATTCAGGTTACTATCAGATAATTGCGGTCTCTGAGACTAGGCTGTCACCTAATATTGCTAATAATCTTGTTAGTCTGGATAATTATGTGCTATTTCGCCAAGATAGAGAATTTTTATTTATTAAAGTACAATCTCAATTTGATAACGCTTTAGTAGGAGTTGTATATAAGCCTCCAAATGCGTCGTTTGGTACTGAATTCGAATCTCAGATTTTTTAATTAATACAATATTTTAATAACATTATTATCATGAGTGATTTTAATTGTAATTTAAATATCCTTTCGTCAATCACTTCTTATTGAACATCATAATTTTATTCAGCTGGAATGTCTATTGTCCCTTACAGCTCAACGCACCATGTGAATACCTCTCGTACGAGAATAGATATAATGTTTGTCGATGATCTTGATAAAATTGAAGCTGTTGATCAACATGCTCTACCTTTTCTTTCTAGTCACGATTTAATTAGTATTAAATTTAAATTTTTCGGCGACCAACACCGTATTGTACATCAGTCAAATCTAGTTCGTAACTTGCGTAACATACCTGAAAACTAATTCTTAACTCAATTGGCCAGCTATGACTGGCCCAGTATTTACTAAGAATCAGACATTAATGTTAAGGTTTGTTTATGAAATGCGTATTTGTGTGAATAAAAAACTTTTATTTTAATGGAATACTGTTAGATTTATTTCAAGTGAGATTCGTTACATTACATTAGTAATCTTTTGGAGATACTGGCAATTACATTTTCTCCCTACACCTCTTTCGTCTCAATTCCCACTTTATCGTCGTCACGTGTATTTTCGCGTTGCTTAGTTTTCAATTTTTAAATATACCTCTAATCAATTTCACCTCATGCGATAATTATAATTCATACATTCAACTCTCAACATGCCGGCCCCTTTGAAATGCTCGCGTTGATAAAATATTAATCGAGTGACATTTCAACTTAAAAGAAAAAATAACAAATTCAAACCTTGCAGTCATTTTCATCTTCGATTGGAAGTATACAAATTTTAGGCAATGCTCGCTTGACAATACCCGATGACGTTCTTGCACTCACCACTCTCACTCTTCCATCATTACCCGGATGCAAATCTTTTATGCGGCCCAAACGCCAACGCAGTGGCGGCGCATTATCGTCCCTGATGACAATCATTTGACCCACCTTGACATTCTCAACTTCTCTTTTCTATTTAAGGCAAGATTGCATTTGAGTCAAATATTCGCATGACCACCGCTTCCAAAACGATTGCTGCATCTGACATGGCAGCTGAAAACGATTTAACCGGTTTAATGGAATATCTAAATGATCTTTTTCCAAAATTGAATTAAAAGAAGACCCGATCAAAAAATGACCAGGGGTGAGAGCAGTCAGATCATGAGGATCTGTCGACTGAGGACAAAGCGGCCGAGAATTCAATATAGACTCGACTTGCGTAATCAAAGTGTAAAACTCCTCGAAGGTCAGCGGTGTGTCATTAAACACTGTTCTCAAATGCGATTTCGCAGATTTCACACATGCTTCCCACAAACCTCCCATGTGCGGAGAATACGGCGGAATAAAATTCCATGCAATTGAGTTTTCTGAAACAAATTTTGCGATTTTAGTTTTACTTTCCGATTCAGTCAACAAACTCTTTACAATTTGTTGGAGTTCGTTTTTTGCTCCCACAAAATTGAGACCATTATCAGAATGAATAGATAGACATTTACCGCGACGAGATATGAAACGTTTAAGAGCATTTAAGAAAGTGTTTGTTGATAAATCAGAAGCTAACTCCAGATGCATAGCTTTCGTTGCCATGCACACAAACACACACAAATAAGCTTTACCTGTAACATTTCGAGACAATTTAATTTTAAAAGGACCTGCATAGACCAATCCTGTATAAGCAAAAGCTCGTGACGAAGTAACGCGCTCGGCAGGTAAATTTCCCATTAATTGCGTTGGGCTCTTTGATCTTAATCGAAAACCTAAAACACATTTTCGTATTACACGAAGTATTGCGCAATCTGTTGAAATAATCCAATATAATTCTCGTAGTACACTTTTGAAAAATTGCGCCCCTGCATGTAAATTTTTATAATGCATATTTCGAATTATCAATACCGTAAGCATGTGTTTAGTTGCCAGGATAACAGGGAATTTTTTGGAATAAGAAATTGGAGCATTTGCTAATCTTCCTCCCACTCTCATCAATCCCTGATCATCTAAGAAAGGATTGAAGGTCAAGATTCTGCTCGTAGAATTGATAGGTTTATTTTGACGAAGATCAGACAACTCTTTTAAAAATTCCTCCTCCTGGTATAGTTTAAGCAAGGAAATTCGAGCTTTATCCAGCTCCTCTGCAGATAAATGATCCGTGATCAGCGACAATCCATTCTTCTTCCTTTTCAAATTTCCAGCAAATCGTTGACAATATGGTGTTATTCGACATAGCTTCGTCCATGAAGAGTATCTAAGGAAAATTGAAAAATCTGTTTCTATCGAGACAAAAGTTAGTAAGACCTTTTTCTCCTCAGGTATCTCTTAAACAGCGACTTTTTCTTGAGGCCAATCATCCCGACTCTCGCTCAACCACGAAGGACCATTCCACCAGATTGTTAATTTTTCCAGATCATCGAGTTCCGTTCCTCTCGAAATCAGATCAGCAGGATTTTGATCCGTTCGCACCTGATTCCATTTTTCTGCTGATGTATGTTGCTGAATTTTACTGACCCGGTTGCCAACGAAGATATGCCATCTAGACAGATCTGCCCTGATCCAGGACAACGCCACCATTGAATCGCTCCAAAACCAAGAATCCTTTATTTTCACAGTCAATACTTCCTTCACCTTGCTATGAAGATTTGCTAATAGAACCGCTCCACACAGCTCAAGCCTTGGCAAACTTAGTGTCTTCATAGGAGCAACCCTTGATCTTGCAGTCAAAAGTCTGACCATTACTGATCCGTCACCGTTGACCGACCGAAGATAGATGCAAGCACCATATGCAACCAGTGATGCATCACAGAATCCATGGATCTCGACTTCCTGTGGTGACTGCACCAAAACATGCCGTGGAATTTTAATGCGTTCAATTTGTTTCACCTGCTCACAATATGATGACCATTTCTTTGCTATCTCTGACGGAATAGGTGTGTCCCATCCTATCCTTAGTTTCCGAAGATCCTGCAGAAGCATCTTCGATCTTACGACGAATGGCCCTATCAATCTCAAGGGATCGAAAACTTGCTCTATAGCCGATAGAATCATCCTTTTTGTGACAATTCCCTCTTCGAAATCATAAGATGATTGATATGTTAGATAATCACCTCCAGTTGCCACCTCATACCGAGCGTCTTGATTTCCGTAAGATCATGATCCTTGATTTCGTTGTCCTTATCGATTTTGTTTGAATAGAATTTTTGCAGCTCGAAACCAGCAGATTGCAACACTTCTTTGACTTCCTTGACAATAGCATCAACCTCCTCCTCCGTTTCCCCACCAGAGAGCATGTCATCTACGTAGAAGTCTTCTTGGATGACCCTTGAAGCAAGTGGATGAGTTTCCTTGCATTCCTCTGACAATTGAACCAAACATCTCGTGGCTTGATACGGAGATGATGTGACTTCAAACGTCACGGTGTTAAGTTGATACGTTCTCATGGGTTGATCTGGTTCCTTCCGCCATAAAATACACTGAAGATTTCTGTGTTCCGGTTTGATCCAAATTTGGCGATACATTTTGACTATATCGCCAGTGACCACGAACTGATGCTGCCTGAATCGAACGATGATCAAGAATAACTCTTGCTGAACAACTGGACCAACCATTACGCAATCATTCATCGAGATTCCTGTTGTTGTCTTGAATGAACCATCCTTGACCACTCTGACCTTGGTAGTTGTGCTCGACTCTTTCAGGACGGCGTGATGTGGTAAATAGTTTCTCAATCCAGGCTCCAGATCTAAAATTTCAGTCATATGCCCTAACTCAAGAAATTCATCTAAATATTCGTGATACCTTTCTTTTATAGTTTGATCCTTCCGGAAACGTCTCTCCATTGCCAACAATCGTTTTTCAGCTCCAGACCGAGATTCACCCAAAGATTGAACATCCCTTTTCAATGGTAAGCTGACCTCAAACCTGCTGTCTTCTGCATGCTTGAACGTCGCAGTGAAATGCTTTTCACACTCCAATTCTTCCTCAGACTTGATATGAGTGACGTGATTCTCGTTGATTTCCCAAAACCTCTTCATGTGATCGTGCAAGTTGTTTTCCATCGAGAGTCCACAAAAAAGAGTTGTTGTTTGTTTTTGTTTATGTAAATCCCGAAATGTTAAATATCCACCTAAGATCCAACCAAATCGCTTTTCATGGTGAAATAGTCGTCATGATACAAGACATTACCGATGATTGCGTTAAATTATTTCCCGAAACCGTATGCATAATATTTTTTTCTGTAAGATTTAATTTTTTACAAAATTCCTTAGTCATAAAATTTGCCATGGACCCATTGTCCAATGAGGCTCGCGCTTTTATTAATTGACCTGCATTATCTCGAACATACATGACAACATTTTTTCATTTGACTCTTTTTTTGAAAATAGATTTACAGATATTTCCGAGATTTCATTAGATGTTACATTCGCGACACTTTGCGTTTCGTTTATTTTACCGACATGATACGAATTTACTGATTTATTTTCCTGATGCAGCAAAGAGTGATGAGACGAATTACAAATTTTACAACCTTTGGTCGATTTACACTCTCTTGCTATATACTTTACACCCAGACAATTAAAACATAACTCGAGAGCTTTCACTTTTCCGCGCCTGTCATCAATTGTTAAATTTCGAAATGTCGGACAAGAATAAATTCGATGATCCTGTTTACATATCACACATGCAAACGAAGAGTCACCAGTGGATAAATGGGCAAGTACCTTATTATCCCGCTTTATCCCCTGAGACGAAACTGTTTTAAAATTTGAATTCAAACTAGACCCTTGTGGATTGATAGCTTCCAACATTTGACATTTAATCTCTAAAAATGCAATAAAATCCGAGAGCTTCGATACTTTTTCCGACAATTTTTTTTAGTTCCCATTCCCGTTTAGTCGCGTGATCCAATCTTGTAAACGCTAAATATAATAACAAAGTGTTCCATTTCTCCACTGGTTCCTTCAACTGCAGCAATATTCTTGTGTGCTTTTGCAAACCGTCTGACAAAACCCGCAATGAAGCAGCTGACTCTTTCGCAACCATTGGCAATTCAAATAATTGTTTTACATGAGGATTTATTATTAACCCTGGATTATGATACCGTTTCTTTAGCAAGTCTAATACAAATGGATAATTCTGACTCGTTACTTCAAATGAATTAATATATTCTTTCGATGCACCCGTTAATGCCGATAGTAAATAATGAAATTTGGTTATTGAGTCTAATGCTCCGTTTCTATCTACCATCGCGAGGAAAGTGTCATAAAACCCCTGCCACTTTTCATAACTTCCGTCAAAAGTAGGGAGAGTGATTATATGTAATCGCGCTTGTGGTACCCCCCCATCGTTACTATTTACTGTCACGGCGGATTCTGCGTTGCTCCTGACACTTCGTCGACTTTCGTAAAACTGAGCCCTTTTTCGTTTAGCGATACTCTGCGTTTGAAAGAAAGCATTCTCGAACTGTTCACGATCTGCCGTTTCTGCTGAAGGCAAACAAGCATCGATATCGTCCTGTACATTGCTAAATTCCGACCACAATAAATCCAATTTATCAATTCGCGTTTCTAATTCAAAAATGGTTTCTTCCGACGCTTCATATCCCTCTATAAAATTCTTGAATCGCGTTGCTTTTGATTTTAAAATCGTCCGTTCCTTTTTAAAATCTGCTAATTCGGCCATTATGTCAAAATAAACAATATACACTTGACAAAATACAATACACTCATATAAAAAATATTCGCTTACCAAATTTGTTGTCTTATTTACAATTAAAATATATGTCGCTTATAAACCTTTACAATATAATCGGAACTGCTGCTGAATCCCGCGTTGATGTGAATATCTCCTCGTTGAAAGTTGAAAATTGATTCTTGTATTTTGCTCCTTTTGATCCAGATCTCCAGATAAATATATAAAGTTATAGTTTCCCAGATAAAATGTTGTACTTCAATTTCGTCAGTAATTAGAATAAAATAATTGAGTTATCTCCAATTTGATCGTTTAAAAATGCCTCGTGTATAATGGCGTCGCGTGCCCCTCGTGGTGTTTTAGATAATTTTCCTTGTTAATTTTCCTCAAAACTTCAAGTCTCATTAATCAACTCGAAGGACCAAAAATGTGCATGAAATGCGTATTTGTGTGAATAAAAAACTTTCATTTTAATGGAATACTGTTAGATTTATTTCAAGTTAGATTCGTTACATTACATTAGTAATCTTTTGGAGATACTGGCAATTACATTTTCTCCCTACACCTCTTTCGTCTCAATTCCCACTTTCTCGTCGTCACGTGTATTTTCGCGTTGCATAGTTTTCAATTTTAAAATATACCTCTAATCAATTTCACCTCATGCGACAATTATAATTCATACATTCAACTCTCAACAAGGTTTATAAATTGACTTCTTATATTACTTCAGCCTTTGATGTGTTTGCACCCTTGCACTTATCAAATACAAGACGTAGATTTTCTCCGTGGATGAATAAGGAAATAAAAATCCTCATTAAGGAACGTAATAAACTACGCAAAATTGCTAAGCGTACTGGTAATCAATTTGATCAATCTAAATTTAAAAAACTTAGAAACCTAATAAATACAAAAATTCGAGACTCTTATAATAAATACAATTTTAAAGTAATTAAAAATGGAAGTAAAACAGATGATATTTGGAAAATTAAAAAAAATTTAAATCTTTTTGCGAATAAAAAAGCGTCAAATGACTACTCTTTTCAGGATCATGAACTTTTGGACGTATTTTCTAGCACAACTATTTTAACTCCTACTCATATAACTATTCCTGTTAATAATAATGACTATAACAACGTTGATGAAAATAAGTTCTTTTTCAATGATATTTCACCCGATGTTACGCTTGAGAGTATTAAGCAGATAACAACTAATGCTATGGGGACTGATAACATTAATATTAAAATGATTTAACTGTCTCTTCCTATAATATTCCCTGTTCTATAGCATATATATATAACTATTCCCTACAGACTGGGTTTTTTCATGATATTTGGAAGATGAGTAATGTCAGACCTGTTCCCAAGATAACTAATCCAAAGAAACGATCCAATATGAGACCGATTTCAATAATTTGTGCCCTGTCTAAACCATTAGAACGCCTCATCTGTAAACAAATAACATTATATTTAAATAAAAATAAATTATTTGAATCACTGCAATATGGTTTCCGTCAAATGCATAGTACATGTACGGCTGCTTTAAAATTTACATCTGATATCAAACTTGCTATGGATGGATACATTACTGTTGCGATTTTTTTACTTTTGTTAGAAATCTTACTGAGAACCGCTGCATTTAGATACAGGATATTATTATTGAAATTATTGTTTTGATTATTGACCCTTAGATTAAGTTATTTACATGTTCCTTTTGATCCCCCTACCTGGCTCTAATAGTTTAAAAACACACTGATTTCTTCTCCCTCCTCGATATTTTCTCTCTCTATTTTCTTAACCAATTCGGCTTTTCCCCTTCCTACGAAAAGAGGCCGCTGTCCCTTTAGGACTACCTGCGGTGTTGCGATTGTTAGGTAGCGTTCTTTTACAGTTCAGTTAACTAACAACCTTCCAAGAGATGTGACGAACAATATTCCAAAGGTGCGTGACGATATATAATTTGACGAGGATATTTTTCAAGGAGCAAGGAACCGAATCAAGATACCAAACCCGGAGATACACCCTGGATTGTGGAGTTTTTTTTGGTGATATCCTTTTTTTCTCTTTATTTTACATTGTTTCTTTATGTGTTAATGTTTCTCTATAATTAAATAATGAACCGTTTCCAAGAGTGATTCACCTTTCTTTGAATCACGATCTATTTGTCACGACTGATTACTTTGAGATCCTTCTTGAGAATCTGTACTATTTTCCGATCTCAATGTAGTCAGGTTTCTCACAATAATCCTGGCTCCCCTGTGGTACTAGTAATAATACTTTATTTAGTTTATTTGTTCCGTTGTTAATAATTGTACGTTTTGGAAAATATAATAATTTCCTGAGAACAAAAATTTGTCTTCTTTTTTCCCGTCACCTGGCTCATTATTTTGGTTTATCGAACAACTTTTAAAAGGCGTTTCCCTCTGTGGACTATCAATTACTGATTAATAAACTGGCTTCATTCAATATGTCCAACTCTGTATGTCGTTATGGTTTGTGTCTTACCTTAGGTTTAGATCACAAAGAGTTATTGACGGTGATGGCAACATTTCGAACTGGGACCAAGTTAAGTGTGGTGTTCCACAGGGTGCATCACCTTCTTCTCTATTGTTTAACTTATTTATTTCTGACCTCGGTAGCGATTTTAAATTCTGTCATAAATATGCTGATGATTTTAAACTTTATCTTTCTGGTCCCTTATCTGATATTTCAAACTTGCTTAAAAATATTCAATACGACATTAAAATTGTTGAACAGTGGGCTGTAAGGAATGGCTTGCGTCTTAATCCTGATAAGACGCAGGCGATAATCTTTTCTGCTACACTGAAAAAATGTTAGGCCGTTGGCTGTACTGGTTCCGAAACAACCAGTTCCCCTTTCAACCAGCACGTCAGACGTCCTTTTTCAAGACACACTGAGAAAATTTTGGGGACGTTGCGGCATTGACGAAATGCTGTGGTGGCTCTGCATTGAAAATGCTGCTATAGAGCCATCTGTAGGTTAGATTTAGTGACTTGGATTGAAAACAACTTTCTTTCCTTTCGAAAAGTCAGTATCTGCCCCTAGGAATGAGCAGAATTTACTCGAAAACCTATATCTATTCTCTTGGTACCGCATGCATGCATTATTACTTATTTTGAAGTTAAAATACCGAATACTCATTATTAATTTTAAAATATAAGAAATTATATTACAATAAATTATACAAAATTGTAAATATGAGTTTAAAGTTAGTAGTCTTATAGTATATTTTAATATTTCACATAAATATAAAAATTTCAGGTTTTTTATTTGCTATGGATATTTATTATATATTTATGAAACTGAAAATTGTGACATGCAATAAAGTTATGTAATAGACATAACCTAAA